GTCCAGAACTGGTTTGGCACATTCCGAAACTCAGCTTCCAACCCTGCGCGAGAACCTGGCGGCCAGCTCAGGGTAGACTCAAACCCAGCGGTTCCTTCCAAAAGGAGCACCCCCTAGATTTAAGTGTATCTTGGGGTCAAAAAGTGGCACCCTGCCTGCAACTGCTTGCTCACTTCTTCTTAATCAACCTACCCCTACTAGTGAAACTCCACTCAGCCGCGCCAAAAATCGCAAATGCTAGCCTTTAAATTAGCCAATACTAAACCGGTACTAAACTCCTGAGACCACACCACATGTTTTCCGCCAAGCTCTCAAAATGTGCTTGTTAGGCCCCCCTGCACACTCCAAAGGGCTGTCCTCCTCAAATCAAAAAAAAACTCCCGAAACAAGTTGTTTTATTAGCGCCAACCCCAAACATTGCAAGAATTTCACAACGGGAATGTCCCTTTCAGAGTTCTTACATCAAAGTTGCAATCTGAGTGTTTTATCCTGCAAATCAAAGGGGATCCACTTTCCAATACAAGTCCAATACTAAGCAGCAAAAAATGAACTATAGCTAAGGCAAAAACCGGCGACCCCAATAATAAAACCCCCTCCGAGGATGTTTTTAATTGGGGGGGCTTTATTAGCGAGAAGGGATTCGGTAGGGAATCAAGAGGAGTTTGGGAATGAACCTGGGGATTCCCTTGAATCATTGAAGGAAAACATGCGCAATGCTTCATAGGAGGGTTCATTCCCTATGAACCATGTTGACAACCAGCAAGATGGTCACCCTTCAAACGTTGGTTTTCGAACACTGCCCCCACCAAAAAAGTGAATGATGGAATAGACTAACCACCTCTCAATGTGTCTTTCCAAACAAACCCAACTGTTCGTGAGTGGCCAAGATAGACTTAAGCCCAGATCTGATCATTCCGATCAACTTTGGAAAATTCCTAGCGCCTTGTGGCACCTTGCCCCGCCGCCCGCCCCCCAACCCCCCCGGGCTGCGTGCCTCCCTGTAGCCATCTGCCAAATCACCACCAGCGTCACGAACACGCCCAGAAGGAAGCAATTGAAGCAGCAGCCGATGAACAGCCAGCCCCGCGCGGTGTCCTCCGTACGCGAGCTGGTTATACATCATCCTTTTGAACACGAAACCACAACTATGTCTATCACAACAGATCGGAGCCTCCGGAAACTAAAAACAAAAAGTTGGCCCCCTTTGAAGGCGTTGAACACACCCCCATTGGAACAACGAGGGGGCCTAGCTTTCAATGTTGCCGGCCCAGTCAACGGCGCACAACCTGCTCGGCGGAAAAAACTGAAGCTAGGCTCGCGGCGGGCTTCATGAAGGTAAGCCTCGGAAGGCTTCACTCGTTCAAAATACGTTTGGCGGAACTCCAAGAATACCTACAATTGGTCGTCCTGTATTTTTCCTTGTCTTTTTTTTCTTTTGGGGGGGTTACTTTTGGGTTTGGGGGGGAGGGGGGAGGGGCACGTATTGGTCCAACAACGCCCTCGAAACAAGAATCCCGGCATATATGCGAGAAAAGAATCTTTCGGTGACACAGAGCCGGGCTCCCTTGTGTTTAAAACTACACGTGAATTTCTCAAAGATCGCAGAAACCGTTGGGTTGTCAAAGCTCATTTCCCCAACCATTCCTCTCGGGTCCCTTCTCCTCCCCTCCCCGGGCTTCCCGCCTTCCCCAGTCCACCAAGTCTACCACGTTGGTGGCCTTGATGAGTTGCCCAAACGCCGCCGCCAGGGCAACAAAGGTCAAAATCCTCGGAGCTTCGGAAAGCGGGCCTCATGCTTGCTGACTAAGAAATCAAGCCCTGAGCAATTTCGCGCCACTTGGCTGGGTGAAAAATAGGGTAACCCCCAAAATGGCTTGCCCTGGTAAATGGAACCGTGGACGGTTTAATTTTGACTCATACCCACTTGAAGCACGCCATCCGTGCACGCTGCACCAACAGCAGCTGCTGACCAAGGCTCTCCGCAAAGAGTGCCAAATAGATGAAGCAATGAACATTCCAGGGAGCCGCCACTTCATTGGACCGCTCCAAACGATAGTGGTACTGGCCTTGGCCGGACTCAATGAATCACGCGCGCCGAATTCAAGGCATCAGCTTTCCTCATCTACAGTATTGGAGTGCCTTTGCCAAGCTCCGCACAGACTTCGCCTTAGCGTCACAATTGAAGTCAAGCATTGCTCTGAGCAAGCACTCCGGGTAACCCTGCTTGACGTAAGCAATATGAAGCAAATGTGATTGGTCTTCAGCACATGATGGAAAAAGAACACACGCAAGGCTGCCGAGGCACAACGCGTCAAATTCGCTGGGTTGATGCCAGCTGTTCGCCACGTATCCAGGCCTGAGATGTTGCACTAGGGTGCTTCAAATGAACTTAGAAATGCCATCACGCTTGTTAAGCTGAACGTCCTGTCACACCTCAGGTCATTCTTATTTCCTGCTGCTGACCCTTTTGCTGCAAGTTTCAGCAGGGTTCTGCCATACCTTGAGAATTTGTCTAGCGGTGATGGTCTCAACTGCCACACACAAATGAGAGTACATTGGTCTTTCTGTGGCCAAAACATCGCGGGTCACTTTTGTTTGCGATTGGGGTTCTTTAGGGTGTTTGGGAGACTCGAGAAAATGAGCACGTGGCAGTATGTGCAAGCGGACATGGAGCACTAAGCAGTATGCAAAATGAGCACAAAGCAGTATGAATCATGAGCTCGCGAAGACTGCATGCAGCCTTCATGCGCAACAAGTTGTGATGGGGTTCTCACAGGAAGGTGTTCTTCTTTGCTTGGGTGACCCTTAACGAGTTGTAACACAATTTCACTAGGATGCTCCACACGTGACTGTCCTTTGGTGCAACCTGGGACCTCTTTGCTCCCGGTTCAGGGTCGCAAGCTATACCTTGATCTGCTTGCCCGGAGTCCCAGCTTTCGAAGTGCAAAACACCCGTGGATTTTGAGAATTCGCCAGTCGTCATCAACCTGACGTCAAAGGGGCACACCCGGAAAGAGAGAAAGAGAGAGAGAGAGAGAGAGAGAGAGTTAAAAGGGCGGATACCTGCACCTATCCATGGTTGCGGCTGTCCCCTGACCTTCACTTACCCAGGTGTTGATGCTCAAGTGCAAAACCCGTGGATGTTTCGAGAATTCGGCTGAGGATGGGGCAATCCCGGTGGACAGGCGCCTTGCACCGGCAAGGGTTGACCTTGTTCTCTCGGACCACATCCTCTCGTACCTGTCGGAACGCTGCGCTGGCCATGGAAACAAAAAGCAACACGGCACCACAGCGAGAGCCCAGTTTTGAGAAAAGAACAAAGACATGTTTCAGGACTCTCAGCTAAGACGAAGAAAGCGTCACTCGAAAACGCGGCAACCTCACCGAAATGAGGCTAAAGCACATGGCATTTTCCACGGAAGTGGCCTCCTCTTGCTTGTGGGCGGATGCTAGGTACATATGAATCTTTCTCCAAATAGTGGACCGCAAGGGTCGGTTTCAAGACAAGCTTTTGCAACGAACGCCATGGACTTGGAACTCCGAATGTCCCAAGGTCATGTCCCCCCCCCCGAAATGTCAAACCACACGAACTGGAACATTTGCACTTCGCGAGCCTGCCATCAAACATGCAATATCCTTCGATTAGTCTGGGGGGCCCTTCCACACCTAGGTCTGTCCCTTGCCTTGCGTTTTGTTCCCCAACGATTGTGCAAAGGGTTAAGGCGTTTTAGTTTGAGGCTTGCCGCTCGAAACGCAGAGGCTTGTTTTCGATGCGACAGGCCCGCGCGAAATGTCTTACTGTAAGTCGGTGCTGTCCTCCAAACTCCGGTGATGGAGTTACATGATTTGCGACGAGCAAATCAAGCTGCGAGGGAGCCCTCGGGTTGGAGGACACTGTTGAACCAAACTGCACAGCAAGTGGGCCTTCTTCAAAATCGAAATCGGGCTGAAGATCAGAATTGTCAAAAGAACGGCGAACCCTTTTTGAACCCTAATGGAGGGATACCCTTTTCCAAGTTGGTTTGGTTGGTTTAAAGGGAAACCAAAAGGAAAACCCGCCTGTCTTGGGGCTCTAAACCCCCATGTTGAGCCGTACCCATTCGCCGGCAGCGGCTGAAGAGCCATGCCCTCTGCCTCGGAGAAGGTCTCCAGGCAGATCCGGCAGAGTTCACTTTGCGGCGGCACCTGGGCGAGGGCCCACTCCAAAACACAAGTGAAGAACATCCTCCCGGGTTGCGAAGTGGACAATTCCAGAGTTCCAAATTCACCTTTTGTGGTCAAAAAAGCCCTGTGAAAGGGGAACTTGTTGGCTTGCTAACCCTTACAAGGGTACCCTCAATGTATGGGTGTGTGTGTGTGTGTTGTCTCTTCTTAAAGGGTACCTTTTTCTGGTTGGCTGAAGGAAGGCCAAAAGGAAACTGCTCCATTTTGGGGGGTCGTCCTGCGTGACGCAAAATCCTGGGTGCCTAAAATGGCTGCTCTTCACCGTTTTCGCCTGAAAACGTGACGTGGCGTGCTATGCCTTGTTCGCCTGCAAGTCTTCGAGGCAAGAAGCCACAGCTGCGCCGGGCATCGGATCAAGCGGTTGTAGGGACCCACATGAGAAGTGGTGTACGTGTCTGTGTGTGTGTGTGGTTTGCCCGGGTCGACTGACCCTTTTTTGTGAGGGGCAAAAAAAATAAGGGCCAAGAGGTGACTGTTCGCTGGATCGTGAGGATTGTGGGTAAGAAAAAGAAGAGTGGCCATAGATTCTAGGTCCTCTTGTTGCTTTTGGTTGTCGGTTTGCTTGGAGCCAGAACATGTTGGATACGGTGCTCGAACCTTGCTCTCAATCGCAAGGTCAGGCAGAATGACAAGCTGTTATGAAAGGAGGCTGCCACCAGAACCATGCAAGAACTCAAAGAGGCATCCGCACCGGTTCAGTCCGTCCCTTACTACCCTTTATCTATATGAGTTTTGGTTGCAGATGAAGCCATGCACTGTCAAGCAAGTGACACGGCCTGCAATGATGCGTGATTGGCGAGTATCCACCAGGCACTGGCCCTTTGTGATGTACACCTCAGACAAGATTGCAATGGCTACGCATCCCTGCCAATCGGTTCACGGATAAACACAAAGGACAAGATGAGACAGCCGATGTATGTCTCAAAACATTGCACCGGAATCTGAAACTGCAATGACTTCATTCCGACTTCGGCAACGGTTGGAATGTCTCCCATGGTTTCGACATCGGAAATGTGATCGGCGCTTTGGTTTCCAAGGACCTGCAAAGGAATCAAGCAGCCAGCCAGGCGTGAACAGTTCACATGGGCGAGTGGTTTAGTCCAGGGCTTCGCATTGGGGTGTGTCTCTTTTTGGGGGCACCCTGTGGCTTGAAAGGGAAATCAACAAGATACCCATTCCAAAGGTTGCCCATGAAACAAGTTGGTAAGTTCAGACATTCAGCCTCACCTGAGCACGGCACCAACTTAATGGCCCCAAGGTTGCTGGCGACCTTTGCAGCCAGCCTCGGTGAATTGGAGGCAAACGTCCCTCAAGGGAGCGGACTCGTGGTTCTCCCCAGTTCCTTGCAACTCGTCTTCCCCATGAGTGGGGATCAGCAAACCAACAGGCTGAACGTGATGCCTTGAAAGCCAGCATGAGACCTGCCAGATCCGCCAAAGCGGGGAAAATGAAGGACGGTCCAAGCTGGCTAATCTATGGGGTGTGCGGCTCCCCAAGATTGCACACTGTGCACTCCTTCTCATCAGGTTCACACAAGAAGAGCCAATTATACTCAGATCGAGGGTTCCAAACTGCGACTACAAAGCGCTGAAAAAAAACACGCGACTGCTTCATGCCGAAACCATGGGTCGCCCATGCCACAAATTCGCGGCCCTCCACCTATGACCTGCCGCAGGGTTTTTTCTGCCCCAAAACCAGGTCTCCGGCCATCGGTCGCTTTAAGGGGGCCCATTTGTTTTTTTACAACTAGTGCTTAACCCCTTCTGCATTTGGCTCAGAGGCCAGCAAAAAGAACAAGCGTGAGACATGGTCCCCTCGAGGGCTCTCCTTTGAGCCCCTTGAACGGCCATGAGGTTGGAATTCAGCTGTCCAAAAGTGACCCTTGCCCCCAGCGATATAGCTCAGTCATAATCAAATGTGGTACTGCATTTAAGGAGACTACCAATCAAAAGGGCGTCGTGCCGTCTGTCCCGACTGACCTTCACCTATCAAGATGGTGATTGTGGCTGAATTGTCTTCATCTAGATAATCTGGTTTTTCTCAGGACTCCCGAAGAAAGTTGGCAAAACCCAAGCAAGTCGTTCACAAAAGGTGGCAAACAAGAAACACGGGGACCCCGGATCTCTTGGGGAAACCGAGACATAATTGGAAAACCAACTCTTCTTCCACCATGGAACAACCAAGTTCGACAAAACAAACAAACAAACAAACGAACGAACAAACAAACAAACAAACAAACAAACAAACAAACAAACAAAGTCTTCAAGTCTTCAAGACTTCAAGTCTTCAAGTCTTCAAGTCTTCAACAACAAAAAAGCAAACAAAGCATGAAGCCACCCTAAACCCACCCTAAGCCCACTCAGCGCGGGGCTCTTCCGAGGACACGTAGAACACCTCCCCTCCCGGGCTGGAGCCCAGCGGTGTCATCGACACGATACCGCCCTCCTACGGCGGGCTAGCCTACAAATGGAGAGGTGGCGTGGGGAGAGTGGCATAAACTGGAAGGAAAAATATGTTGTGGGAGCAAGTGCGTCCCCCTGCAAAAAGCGGGACAAACGCGCACAGTGTGGCCAAGAACCTGAAAATTGCAAGTGCAAATAAAAATGGGGTGGGAGAGGAATTGGTGTGCCTCGTTGAGAAGCTGTCGGAACAACAATGTGCAGGGGGGGAGGGCAAAAGTGGGGCCAAGAATGAGGGGGCGGCCTTGCTTGGTGTCTTGTTTTGCTCTAAGTTGGGAAAAGAGGGTGCATTCAACTTGTGGCGTCCCTTCTGCTTTTGAAGCACAAGGGCTAGCGTTGTTTTTGTCAAGCGATGCGATAAACTTCGCAAATGGCCGACCCGAACCGAATTGCTTTCCTGTTTGGTTGATTGTTTGCGTCAACATTCACAAGGGGGCCATTTCCAAAGATTGGAAACACGCTCATATACAGGGACCTCTAAGTCATCTATATTGACAAAAGGGTTTGCCTTTTCATTTCTGTACGACACATCAACCTCCAAGAAAGGAAACTTCACTGGCCATTGCCCAACCGAGCCGCCGCCGTCACTGGGGTCCCATTGGGTGGCCTTTTGAAGGAAAAATGACAATCAGCCTTTGGCTGCACAGATTAGCTGAGTCCAAGTAGCCGAAACGGGACTCTATCTCTTGAATGCCAGCAATTGACTCCAACATACTCCAACTTTTCTTCCCAACCATCCTTCTGTTCAATAACCAAGTGTTCTTTGGTCTAAATTCACACTGAACCAACCCACAATCAACTACACCGAAACTAAAGACTGCCTAAACCCGCCCTCGCCTCATCACACAAAAGGTTGACCAAACCCAGCCTAACCCTACGCCAACCCGAAAACACCCCTAAACCAACCCCAATCCCCTCAACAAACACCACACCAACCCTAAACGCACCAAACCAAACCTCTCGCAGGTTCGTTGAAGCTGCGAACGCCCGTCCTGCAGCTGCCGCTGCAGCAGATCCGAGTTTACGGATCGCACCACCCCCGCGTACATGAAATCAACTCCATCGCCTCAGGCAAGCGGGTGCGCGTTGCCAGTCGGTCGGTCGCTCAGTCGGTCGGTCGTTGATTGGTTGGTTTGGTTGAATTCGGTAATTGCCCCTTTTGGGGGATGGCTTGAAAGGAAACAAAAGGCAAGCCACCATTTGCAGGGTGCCTTACTTTGACATACACCCAAATCAGCTTTCCTCTGGTATCTCCAAGCCACCCTGTAAGAGTTGCCTGATCAAACAGCCAGTTACACACTCAATCCCAAGGGTCGGAAGAGGCTCTTGCTGGCAAGGACGCAAGCGCCCTGGCGGCTGTTCTACGGTGGACGGGCTGGACGCCACAGCACCAAGACAGCAAATGCCCTGCTGGGTCTTGCCACAAGGGTGGGCTACATTGAGCAGGGCTTGCCGCTGGACCAGCCGGACCAGGCGACCTTGTGCGTCCAAGCCACTCTACCTGGACAACTTTGTGCAGTCCAGCAAGGACTGCGATTTGCAAGGACGGCGGCGATGGAGGAGAACGTGCGACTGGCCCGGATCTACCGGGCCAGGCCCAAGACAGCGCCCCGGCAGCGTTGGTTCCGCAAGACCCACCCCAGCAACCACCCGCTGCTGCTGGCGCCGACTGAAGAAGGCTTAAGCCTTCAACAATTGGCTGCAGGCCCAGAGGCACCTGGACAATGTAAGCTAGGCCGGCTGCGGGGCTGCCGGCTCGGTCAGGTCCGGCTTGGGTTTGTTCTTGCTGCCCGGAGGCTTCGGCGCCACTTTGCGCGTCGGTCAGACAAAACCCTCAGTCTGGTGACGTGTGTGCCTCTCCGTTGTCCAGCACCTCCGGAATGTCCTTCGAACATGTTTTCTTTTACACGCTTTGTTTCACCAGCTGCGCTGGTTGTCTACAGGGATTGCTCAACGTACCTGCGTGTTTGCGGGCGCGCGTGCCAAACAAGGGCACATGGAAAGCACGTGAGGCGAAGACAGCATCCCCTGGCATCCCAAAAATAAACGTGAGAAATTGCCAAAGACACGGTATGTGCAATGTTTTTCCACACAATGGCGACTGCGCCGCTTTCGCAGGAACCCAGCGTGCTTGGTCGCAATCATCCCCGCTATGTCCGCTTTCCCCCGGGGGCATTTTCAGGGCGCCATTTTGGAAGCATGATGCCGGAGCTGCAGGAATGCTGCGGATGCCAGGGAAGTTGGTGAGGTAGGGGATGGTATTTGCGGTGTTTCTTGAAGGTTGAGCAAAGCAGCATTTGGAGCCCGTCGCAAGCCGTATACCCTGCGGGTAGGGCTCTCGCTCGAGCTCGAAGACACACAGAGCTGGACCTCCCACAGACTCCGCTAACACCAGATGCTTCGACAAGACCCAAGCAGATTTGGGTATGAGTTGGTGAGAGGAAGCTACTCAAGGACCTTGTGGGCTTCCGGTTCCGAGGTCCAGGCGAACTCCCATGGGCGATGCCGTGAAGAAGTTGGTGCTGCTGATCTGGCGGGTCTGAAACGAGATCTATTAGATGGTCCCAACAACCTCATCTGTGGCATCCTCCTTTTGTGAGGTATCTTCCATTGCGGGAAGCTATGCTTTATTGCTTCGCTCTGTGCGCATGTGCGGTGTATGTGTGTGTGTGTGTTTCACAATTGGCATGGAAGATGATTGGAAAGGGAGGAAAATCCCGTGCAAAAGCCAACCCCATGGCTCTTGTCGCCATGTTTTTCCAGAAGAGCATCTTTGGCTCAATTCGACACTGAGCTCCTGGCCACAGACACAGCCCCTCGCACCTTGGGCCATAGCTGGGTTAATCTCACCAAAAACCGCGGCGTTCACCTCCACACACACACACACACACACACCCACGCACGCACGCACGCACGCACGCACGCACGCACGCACGCACGCACGCACGCACGCACGCACGCACGCACGCACGTCACGCACCCACGCACGCACGCACGCACGCACGCACCCACGCACACACACACACACACACACACACACACACACACACACACACACACACACACACACACACACACACACACACACCGCCCCGGCCCAAATAGACTCTACTTTGTGGTTCAGGGGTGGTTTCAAATTTTCCCTCTACAAGAACCTCCCAAACTACCAGCCACCAATTGAGGGTTACCTGAAAAAAGGGTTTCCAAGAAAAAAACACTCGCCAAACATTACTACTTGAGGGGTGGGGGGTCTCCACCATGTTTCCGTTCAGGTCATTCAAAAAGGGCTCCCGCAGAAGTCAAACTCCCTTGAATCACTTTGGGCCTTTTGAAACAGAAAGGATCTCTCTGTGGGTTGGCTCCAATGTTGGCCAATCCCCGGGTTGTTAATCAAAGTTTGCACAGGCAGAACAACTGTCCTGCGCGTGCTGACAGACAGTGCACTGATAGGTGGTTGCAGTCTCTAGATGCCTATGTTCCCCGAAGTGTCAACATCCTTTTGAATTGGTGCATGTTGGCTAAGTACTTCCAAACATGAGCCTAAAGTCGCTGGCTTTTGACAGATACCAATTTTTCCACGTCGAGAGAGGTTTCGGTGAGTCTGAGGTGCGAATGGCGGCTTCCGAACAAAAGGGCGCGCCTTGAAAACCAGGGACCCTATCAAAGGCTTGAAACCCATCTACACAGTTGCTGAGCCCGGTTTTCCCTTCAAACCATCCTAAAAAGGGTACCGAGCCTCGGTGCCGGAAGCTTTGGCACGGAAAGCCAAGCCGAGGCACCGAGAAGAGGCCGGCAGAGGCCGAGCCGAGGCCCTTGTTGGACCTGGGCCCCGGTCGGCGCGCTCGAGAGAAACCCATGGCCTGCGCTGTTGTCTTAGGTTGGTTTGTGGGGAAGCCAAAAGGAAAACCCAACACTCCCTTCAGAGGACTACCCAAATGAAAAACGTTGGGGCCATTTGCGTAGTGGTTCTCCGAAAACTGGCGGTCCAGCGGCACGGCCTCTCCAAGAAATCGGCCTGTCCCTTCCTTCTGCACGACGAGTGGAGCGAAGCAAAGAACTCAAGTTGAAAGGAAATTGTGAGGAACACCACCCAAAGATTACAAAGGCTGTTCTTTTTTGAAGAATAATATGTGCTTATCAAACGAATGTGCAGAGCAATAGCCGCACGCATTGTCAAGAAGTGCATCTTGAGTCCGCAACTGAAAAACAACCACACTGAACTTTTGCCTTCTGTCCACGAGTCGTGCCGCCCGGCCTTTCCCCGTCGCCCGGCATCCAGGCCCCGGCAAGTTCCGCTTTTCGAAACCCGCGGTCACCGCACTCTCCACCTGCGCAGCATAAAGAGTTTACAGCTCGGAGCTGGGCATTTTAGCGGGGAGGCGAACGGATGTCTTCCTTCGCTTTAACAGAGTTCAACCCCCCGGATGTATCAGGCATGACCTATGCTTGGACTCTTGGACCTCAGACTGTGGATAGACCCACTGAAATTGGGAGTACAGGGTTCACTGCTGGATTGGGTGATTCTTTTCAGCAGTCACCAGCCCATCAAGAGTTTCTTTCCGCCTTGTCAACTGCTTTCCTGGCTTTCCTAACCAACCCCAAAGACGGGCACTGCGGCTACAAAGGCCCAGTCGGACAGTCCTCTGCAAGGACACCCCCCCCCCCAGCCAGAGCAAGAGTCCATGGCACGGAATCCCCGCTTCTGTTTCCCAGAAGGGCGGCAATTGAAGGATGAATAAGTGAGCTAAAGGTGCTTTCCCCCCGACCTTGCCAGCAGGCTCCACAGTTGCAACATACAGCCAAGAGGGTCAAGTTCACATGGCGGCGAACGGGAAACGCGACCCGAAAAGCAGCTTTTCAGGACCACCCAATTTCCGGCCTCCACCCGCGCGAAACCGGCTTCCTGCTTTGCGCAGCGCATGGCCTGAAGTGCAGGCCATAGGAGTCAGGATGTGGCTGCTGTTGGGCATACCTTGGCTTATGTTCGGAACCCCAAAAATGGTGGCAAAGATCACGAATCACACGCGTTCGAAGATATCTGTCCCATTTAGACAGGACTTTTGGGTGCTTTGCTTGTTGGAAGGAATCGATCCGGTTCCATGCCTCCTCATCCATCACAATGCCCTTCAGGCCATTACCCACCTGCCCAATCGCCATAGCATCAAAACCGAATCGGCGGGTCCAACCAACGCCATTTGGCTGTTTTTTCAGTATTGCCGGCCCCAAAATTAGTGGTGAGAGTCATCTTTTTTAATGGTTTCATATGGCTTCCCTGATGGTCATCCCATGTAAAGGACCTTTTGATCAACCCCCATGTACTGAATGAAAGGGGACTGCGCCAGACTAAGTCCTTGCCTTTCTCGCTGTATTCTCCCAGTGCACTCTACACTTTTGGACCTGTGCAACCTCCTGGGCACTCTACACTTTTGGCTGTGCACTCCATACGCCGCTGCGGCTGACACAATCCTTGCCCCCTATGCCCTTGCAAGTTTAGCTTTGTCTTCGTGGCAGGGGAGGAAGAGGCCGAGTTTGACAAAGGAAGGACGCAAAGAAGAGACGAAGCAAACCTGACGAATTCGCAGAGGAAGCAAAAAGACAAGACTCTGCAAGTGCACCTTAACCCTCGAACTACCCTTAAAAAGGGAGATTGCCCCAAAATTTGGTGATGTCCCATTTTCTAGGGTAATTTGAGGTCCAGGTACCCCATGTCCCTTCACCAGCAGCTTTGCTTCCCGTCGCATCGTGAATTCGCACACTCAGAGCATGGACCTGCGGCGAATCGGATGAAATCCATCGAGAGTGAGAGTGTCGCAGCTAGGGTGCGTTTTGGGGCTACAAACACAGGGGAATTCAAACGGAAATCACATTGTAGCGGGGGCACCACCAACGTGTTTTCTGGGGTCCCCTTTACCAGATGCTGGAAATACGGGGCATGTCATCCGCGACCTCAAGGGCCGCATATGATGGAAGAAACCGCGCCAGTTGGCAAGCTTTGGATACACAAAAATTGGCTTTCCATGGCATGTCACTTCGTCACAGGAATCCAAACAAGAACCAACCATGCGGAATAGTGCGGCAAATCTTGACACAATCCCACAAGCCAGTTGGTGTAAAGCTGCGCTCCTTTTGCATCCTATAAGGGCACTGTCTTTGTCGCGTTCTGTCTGCAAGGAACACAGATCCGCGGATCTGCTCGCCAGCATTGCAATTTTGCATTGCTCAGGTGTTACATTTCTCAGAGTTTGCATTGCTCACATAGCGCTGTAACCTGGGCCGAGCTCGGGCAGTCATTCGCATCCCAATCCTGCCTGTCTTCTGAAGCCAAGCAAAAAGCAATGTGGGTTTTCGCGCAAACTCTTCATTTGGCGCCCAACTCCGTTGAGAGCATGCAGGCTCGTCTCGCCAAAGCAAAGCGCGTCTCAAGACTTGGGACTCCAAATGCTTGGCGTCACCCTGGCCCAACTCCATTTAAAGCTCAAGTTTAGAAGGAACTTCTGCGCTGGAAGTCATCCAGCTAGCTCTCGCTAAGAGTGCATGCACTTAAGCTAGATGCACTACACGTGAAACAGCTACTAAAAGCTACTAAAAAGCAGGAAAACCCAAAAACGTGGCCCTGTGGGTGGATTCTGCTTTTCGGCATGTGCGCAAACCGAGCCGTCTCGGGGTGGTCTCGGAGCCGCGCGCAGTGCGTCGCAACCATCGAATGGTGAAACCTCTGCGGACTTCCGCAAAAAGACTCGTGTGTTCTGTTCTGCGATGTCCACTTTGCTCGCGCAGCGGACGACCTTTAAGAAACAGGCTATTTGTCAAAGATTCTCACTTCGCTCACACAGCCCTGTGCGGACTTTGGGGATCAACCTCAAAAAACTCGTGTGTTTGTGTGTTGTGTTTGTTTGTTTACTCTTCTTCTAAACATTTTTATTATTAGCATTAGTACTATTGTTGCTACTATTGTTGGTCTTACTGTGATTATGTTTAGTATTATCATTCTAAAATGTTGCTATAGTAATATCATTGCTGGTAGTAATATCATCTTTGTTTTAAAGATTAGTTATTGTCATCTATTCTTAGTAGTATCATTATTACACTTTTGAGCTAGTGCAACCACAAGGAGGTGAACCCTCGTGGCCTGGAAAGAGAAAGAGAGAGAGAGAGAGAGAAAAAAAAAGGAGAGAGAGAGAGAGAGAGAGAACAAAAAAATAGCCAGCGAGCGAGAGCAAGAAAGAGAGCAAAAGAGTGAGAGAGAAAGAAAAATACAACAGAGAACAACAAAAAGAGGAAAAAGGGAAAGAGAAAAAAAAAAAAAAAAAAAAGAGAAAGCAAAAAAAAAGCAAGAGAAAGATAGCAACCGAAGGAGAAAAAGAGAAAACAATGAGATAACCAACGAGAAATAGAAAGACCATGACAAAGAGTAAAAGAGAAAAGACATGGAGAGGCAAAAAGAAGAAGAGAAAGAAGAAGGAGAAAGAGAAAGAGAAAGAGAAAGAGAAAGAGAAGGAGAAGGAGTAAGAGAAAGAGAAGGAGAAGGAGTAAGAGAAAGAGAAAGAGAAGGAGAAGGAGAAAAAAACAGAGAAAGAGAAAGAGAAGAAGAAAGAAACAGAGAAAGAGACAGGAAAAGGGAAAGGAAAAGACAAAGGAAAAGAGAAACAGAAAGAGGAGAAGAAAGAAACAGAGAAAGACAAAGCAAGAGAAAGCGAAGCGAAAGAGAAAGCCAAAGAGAAATACAAAAGAGAGAAAGGGATAAAGAAGAGAAAGAGATAAAGAAAGGAACAGAGGAAAAGAAAGAGAAAGAGAAAGCGAAAGAGAAAGAGACAGAGACAGGATAAAGAAGGAGAAAAAGATAAAGCGAGACAGAGATAAAGAAAGAGAAGGAGCAAGAGAAAGAGATAAAGAAAGAGAAAGCAACAGGGAAAGAGAAAGTGAAAGAGAAAAGAAATCAGAAAGAGAAAGAGAAAAAGAAAGAGAAAAGGGATAATAGTGAAAAAGAGAAAGCAAAAGGGAAAGAGAAAGAGACAGGGAAAGAGAAACATACAAAAGACAGAGAAAGAGAAAAGGGATAATAGTGAAAAAAAGAAAAGAAAAAAAAGGCAAAGAGAAAGAGAAAGAGGTAGAGCCAGAGACATAGAAACAGACAAGAGAAAGAAAGACAAAGCCAAAGCGAGAGCACAAGGGAAAGAGAAAGAAAAAAAAAGAAGCGAAAGAAGAAGGATAAACAAGGAGGAAAAGAGAGGCAGAGGCAGAGACAGAGAAGGGGAATCCAAAGAAAGCCCACCGTATGGTGTCCTATATCAACACCCCAGCCCTTCTGAGGCCAGGGCGATGGTATCACCAGCACGCGTCGTTCGCGCATTTGCCAGACATGCAGATCTTCTTGGCGTTGGTGTAAGACCGCACCATGCACTTGGGAGGCCAGACATTGAAGTTCCAGGAGCATTTGTAGCCTTACACGCCAAGGAATAAAGAGGAAGGACCAGAGGGGGGCAGGGGGGGGGTTCATTCTTCAACCCCCAAGCCTCTTTTAGTCGCCCATAAATACAATGGAGATCGAAAACTGGTTGGGGATTGCCAAACGTAGGTTTATGGCCTGCAACCTGCAAATGTGTCTTCCCGCCGCTGATGCTTGCAAACAAATGCTCTCCCTCGGTGGGCTGTCCATATCAAAAGGACGGATAGTTTGCCAGTTTGCCTGTTTGTCTTGACGGCGGCCGAATGAAGTCTTTCTTGCAGAACAATCAACAGACTCCCCGTCCATGCCGTGTAAAATGCAAGTGCCTGGGGCTGCTTGCTCACCTTCTGCCCGCCCTAAAAGCCAAGCAAGACCGGGCTCCCCATTGTGAAGCTGTACATATTCAGGCATACTATCTACGATTCCCCAATTCGGCACCAAGTCTCCAGAAGTCGCCGTTTCTGGATTTGGAAATTCAAGTGCCTTCCCTTGCTTGAGCTTGGCTTCCCGGTCCCAAGGTGGTTTCCCCTGCCAAAGCTTCAGTCTCTATCTCTTTCATTTTGCCCAATTTCTGGAAGGGTGCTTTCTAGCTGAGAAGCCAAGGGGGAAAAACAAAAGAGGAAATAACATCGTCTCGGAAATTTCGGGCGGCCGATGCCGGACTGCACGGTGTAGGTTTTGCGGCACTTCTCCTCCAGGGACACACCGCAGTAGGGCACGTAGTCAAAGGTGGTGCAATCCAACTGGCCCTCCTCCAGTTGGCGAAGTACCGAAGCTTACGGCAAGGTTCATTCATGTGGATGTGCTTTCCTTGTTTCTTGGAGTTGGTACCCATTTTATGTATAAAGGGAAACTTCAAAAGGGACAGTGGAAAATCCGTGTTGAGGGTTCCGAATCCCTTTGACGCATACCCAAATCGCGGGGGGGGGGGGGGGAAGCCACCAAAAGATATGTTGAAATCCCCAACAAGGTAGATATGTGGCCTCCAGCAAGCATCAGAAACTGTTCTATTATTTTCAACATGTTGCTATGATTTTAGCAGGGAATCACCTCACAAAAGGGGTTGGTGGACATGCATGATGTCCACAAACAGCGAGCGATCCGCAACGAGGCCTTGCTCTGCCATCGGCCCACCATCTCCTTGGTCACCCCCGGAGCTTTCACCTGAACAGATGCGTTCGAAGGCTTCTTGATCTTGGACGGTTTTTCTTAGCGCAGATCTTGCCTCGTGTCGTTTTCGGTTTCGAGGGCCGAAGGGAGAAAGCAGTTTCGGGAGACGAGGCTGGCTTCGTTCGCAGGTCCCGGCCTGAGACTCGAGGATTCCTTTTGGCTCCACCCAACGCAAAAGGACCCAACAGCCGAAGTGGAAAGCCAAGGCCAAGGCAACTGACTTCAATCCCCAGGGTTCCACTTTTGGAGGTAGACTTTAACCTTGGGGCTTCCCAGGATGAACCACCCGGGGTTTGATTGAGTCCTTGGAGCAGTAACGTGGCACCCGAACGACTGAATCGCCTGCAGCTGCACCCCGTCCCCGTTCTGGGCCACGGAGTCGGCAGCACCCGCCACGCGGTAGCAGAGCGTGTAGTCGCCTCCCGAAACTCTCGTGGGACACGGGGAGTCAAACGGCCGTGGGGGACAAATGAGTACCCAAAATGGGTCGCCCTGATAAATGAAAGCAAAGACTAAAACCGGTCTT